CTTGTATTTCAAGTCAGGGTGGAACTGGTTGAACATGCTACAGATAGTCACTGCATCATCAGCATTGTTCCTCCAATGGATGAAAACCAAGGCAGCAAAAAAAACCTTGTTCAAGCTTAAAGAAAACCCTTTTGTTCCCATTGGCTTCCATGAGGTGTTAATTTGGTCTGATCTTGAAAACCTGTTCATTTGCATAGCGTCTGTAATTGCCACCCTGCGTCTTCTAAAATGCTTTTATTTCATGCCACAAATTATAGTTTTCTCGGGGACACTCCGCAGATCCTTTCCTTCAATATCTTCTTTCTTCTTGATTTTTATGGTAGTAGCGATAGGTCATTCTTTCTTAGGGGTCATCGCCTTCGGAACCAATATTTACATGTTCTCATCATTCATAGACGCCATTTCGTCGCAGTTCCTGATGCTTCTTGGAAAAAATATTCCAGTAAATGAACTGATTTCTACAAATCCTATATTGGGACGTCTTTTCTTTTTTAGTTTTGTCGCAAGTACGACAGTCATTATCGTAAATACGTTCATTGCAACCATTAATGAGCATTATGCTTTTTCAAATTCCGATAAAGTAGGAGAAGACCTAGAACTTGCACAGTTTATAACCGACAGGATAAGTGACACTTTTTTTGGCCAGAAATCCAATAGAAACCAGCCATGGGCGGAACAAGAGAACCACGAGCTCTTTGATTCCGAAATTATCGTAGAAAATAGGTCGCCGGAAGAAACTACTCCGAGTACCTTATCTCCAACACCGCATCGTAGCCGTACACCTAAATTATCTTACAAACTAGAAGCGGCCGAGTACGAGAGTTTACAGCTTCGATGACCTATTGAATGGAACATTTACCTTTGAAGGCTACCATGAACAACATAGGATTAATCGGGCTGTTAACCCTTTAACACTCACAATCTCATTAGTAATTATTCGCCATGATTTTTATCATTATCATTATCTTTCTTGTTATCATTATCATAGCTTTAATTATTGTTATCATTATTATCATAATGATTATTATAATTAATTTTTTTCTATAGCTATTAAAGATGTGCCACTCATGGTTACGTAACAGAAATAAGAAAGTAAACTGCTTGAGTAAAGAGTTCTTTGGTGTGCACTTTCTTAAGAACCCTTTGAGGTTTCACTTGACTGTTTAATTTGGAAGTAGATAAGCCAGTTGAAGTTGTTTAAGCCATGAAAATATTAGGATGAAACTAAAGAGACTACAAGAGATCACATTCCATTTGCAAGTCAGCTTAAAATTTATACATATTGGTTTAGTTATTGAGTAATTTATATTTCAGATAGACAAAAACCCAAGTTGAGTTTGATTGCTCGAACAGGATTTTTTCACATTGTGAATTATTATCAGGAAACACGAGTTGATTGTTCTCACGGAGGTGGAAATGAACAAAATGTACATCAATAGTTCAAATGGTTTAATACTGGCACAGTAACTCTAACCAGTATTCTTATAAAGGTAGCAAACTGAACAGAATGGAGGGAACAGGGTCTAGATTTTTTTAAAAACAATGTTTCTATAGAACACCTTTGATCAAATCTGAAAAAATTTTGAAATTATGCTTCGCTAATTTTTTGTACCTATTCTTTCATATACTGGAATGGCTAACTCACATCCATCAATCCTCGTTGATTTCCTCAATTTCCTGTCAATTTGATAATTTTCCTAACCCAAAGACCTTGAGTAACCTGTGCTTGAACCCAGTTTCGAGTGCCTATCTGTTATTATCTATGCCCTATTTTAAACTCGGTTGGAATGGTAACTACGGCAATCTATTGGACTAGTCCACAAAGAAATAGACCGAAGTGCAGGCTCTTATTAGTGCGAGCTATCGTTAAAAGCTCGAGATCGTTTATGCGAACGATCATGTTTGATTTTCAGTTAAAGTGGACGGTGGGGGTAGTGGGCGGGGGAAGGGAGAAAAGACTTTACTCCCCCATCCCTCTCCCTTTTTTTGACCGTCGACCGGCCCCTTAGTACAAATTTATTTCTCTCCCCAGCCTCCCGCTGCCATCAAAATTGAAGATGGCGGCTATAACTTTCGCCACAAGCGACTAAATACAGGAATGGCTCCGACCTGTGATTGGATGATAAAAATAGTAAAAGTTAATAACTTAAATCTTAACTCCTTGCACGTGAGTATGGTTAACCGCGTGTCTCGAAGCGGAACAATGAAATATCAATGTGAAAACGCCGATGAGTCAAACAAGAAATGGCTACTTATATAATGAAGAGAAGGCACAGTCTAGCTTGTTCAGCGAGGTCGTTCAGCGATATTCCGGCGATGGAAAAGTCATCTGCTGACTAGCTCCGCTGACTAAATTCATTTAGTCAGTTTACGCGCACGAACAGAGACTGGAGCCATTCCTTTTTTATCTTAAAATTGTTTGGGAGAGATGCCTCAATTTTTTTTTACAACAAATAGGTCTATTGAAAAATTTATCTACAGGTATATTTACTTTCCAATCATACTGAAACAATCCGATGATTTCAGGTTTTGGGGTTCCCTTTCCATGCCCCCTTCAAAATTCTCTTCTTCAGCAAAATCCAGTCTTTTTTTAGTTCCCTGAGAAATTCTCCAAAGATCAACACTAAGATTAGGTGAGTGTTATTACACCAACAACACCTCCTCCTATCCCCTTTCTGCTAATGATTCTTTTGAAGACCTCTCAGAAATTCTTATATTGGGGTTGGGAGATGTAGATGACTGGCAGTTTCTCATATTTTTCAATGATTGTATTGTTATATTTTGCATTCGTAGCTTGCATGGTACATCCCTTGGAGATGAGGGCCGAGATTTGTACTCTTCTTCCCTCAACTGAAGGAAATGAGGGACTTGTTGAACTTACACTGTCAGCAAACCATGGAGTTACTCATCTGGGATGGACCCAACTTGCCATAGCCATTGCTGCAAATTCACAGTTGCAAAATCTTTATCTTGACTACAACAACATTGGTGATTATGGTGCTGATGTGCTTTCTGTTGCCCTGGCTGCGAGCTCTTCACTAGAAATTGTCGATTTGGAAGGAAGTGGGGTGAGTGAAAAGGGAGCAGAGATGTTTTTTGCTGTTATTGCTAATTACCCCACAAAAATGCAAGAACTTGTGTTGTTTGAAGAGAATGTCAGCGTGGAACTTATTGGTCAGATCAGTGACTGTTTGAGTCTGAAGTTTCAAGGTTCTGCAGACAACTGGGAAAGTCCTAAAAAATCACTAGATGATGATCACAGCAACCAGGTTGCTTGATGATCAGGAATACATTTAGTTTATTGAAATAAGTTTCATAGTCTACTTAAAGGCAGGAATGTTCAAGGACAGAAAACTGACCTGTGAAACTGAATCGCTTTATCTGGTGATGGGATCTCGCTTTTTTATGTTTAAAAGAGGCAAAAGCATCATCATTATGATGGTAGTCTGATTGCTTGGAGACTGACTTTTCTTGGCATGTGAACCCTTCAGGTCAAAGATTAGTGTTTGCCAATGTAACCTCTCACATTTTCTGTTTACTAGTGATGGTAATAAACCAACAAATTAGCCAGGGGTTGTTATCTTAGTTGATACAACTCCAAATTCTCTTGTCAAATAATGAATGGCATACAGCTTGAAAGAAACATTTTTATTGGGTCAAACTATGGAATATTCAGGGTTTGCTTATTAAATTCTGGTCTCCACATCAAAAGGATCCAGGTCTGAGACTCGCCAAGGTCATAGTATTGCATCCATGAGCAGGAAATTTTTTACTTCCATTGTGCCTCTCTCCACCCCGGATATAAATGAGAACTGGCAAACTGAGAGGGAAAGCTGACAAAAGCCTTAACCCTTTAACTGACCCATGAGTGACTAAGACAGTGAAGAAATGTAAAATGGTTTCCGTGTTTACATAGCCTGATGTAAACGTGCGGGAGGTTGGGAGAACACGAGATAAGCGTTGGAAACCACGACGCGAAGCGGAGTGGTTTCCAGCTTATCGAGTGTTCTCCCAACCTCCCAAGTGTAAAATGTAAAATGTCATGTAAAATGGTTTTATGGCCAATCAGAGCGCGCGTACTATTTGTATTATTTTATAAAGTTTCTTGTAACAGTATCAGTACAATTTCAACCAGATAAGTGATGAGAATAAATAAAAATGTAAATTAGGGGATAATTAGTTGATTCAATACTAAATTATCTGGACTAACATTAAGAATTATATGGTTGATAGGTAGGAGAATTTAAGATTTGATCTGGAAGTTAAAGAAATATTTCTGCCCAATCAGAGTGAAGCATGGCTTAGATTCCTTTCTTTAGTTTCATTAACACAGAGAAATACATAAAGTCATGTTTGTTGGGCCGTTTAATTAAGGGTTACTCGAGGTGAAAAGTTTCAGTCTCAAAACATAATGTAAGAGAAATATTATATGCAAAAACCTCATTGCAAATTATATTGGAAACTTCCCCACTGACCAAGGATGGTTTGTCCCTGGTCTTGCCAGCTATTTTACATAAGAGTACTCCGCATCGAAGTACAAACTGCCGCAGGTTTAACAGGCTGATATTTCTCCTTCGGAGGATAAAATTTGCAAACTACAATTATTTATTTCTGTTCCGAGATACCATCGTTAATTGTTCGTTAAGATAGTTATATTTAGGTTCTTATTTTTCCGTTCCGTATTTCCACGTGTCCATAACCGTCTCTTGATTTTGTTTTTTAAACGGTAGTTAACTAACATAACAAAAGGCGGGGGCTTTTGTCTTCCTACATTTTTCAAGGGGAACATTTTATTTTCTTTAAGCTTAAAAGAATAAGAGAAAAAAAACGGAAAAAAATTTAGACGCTACCACCTTAAACAAAACTTGTCGAAAATTTTAAAGCTAAAAAATACCAAATCACAAGAATTGATTTAGTAAAGGCGATAGGAAAGAAATAAAGCCAACTTGAAACGACGATACTTACATTGTTTCGATTACTCAAAAACTGCACTTGCACTCGACAAGAAAACACTGTCTGAAGACGAAATGAATGACGTGGATACTGCTGCGAAACGACTAATTGAAATTGTAACTCACGCCAATAATTACGAATGAAACAGTAATGAACGAAAGTATGCGATATGGAAAACAAAAGAAGCTAACTAACCGGTGGAAAAGGACTCAAAGGCAAGGCAAACTGAGAGGGAAAGCTGACAAAAGCCTTAACCCTGGTTTTATGGCCAGTCAGAGCGATCTAAAGACGAAATGAATGACATGGATACTGCTGCAAAACGACTAATTGAAATTGTAACTGACGCCAATAATTACGAATGAAACAGTAATGAACGAAAGTATGCGATATGGAAAATAAAAGAAGCTAACTAACCGGTGGAAAAGGACTCTAATTGAGACGACGCGAAACGGCAAAAAGCACGCAAGAGACACTCTAATTAGCAATTGACAACATTCCGCACGCGAAGATCATACAGGTCAACCCTGTGACGCCACAAAAAAACGCAACAAGAAGAAGGAAAAAGCCTCAAACTTAGAGATGACTTCCGTTATCAGAAAACGATCACAGATGTAATCCTTAAGGTGAGATAAAAAAAAATCCGCACAACAATCTTAGTTATAATTACACAAAAATAGCTAAAAGTGTTTACAAGGGTTAATATGGCGCAGATGTCTTACGCAAGATCAGATGAAAGGGCAAGCATTGCGGGAGGTCGGATTCAAAGAAGAACCTGAGGTTAGGAAATTCACGCCGGCTCGCAATTAAGATCTCTATCTTATAACCTCAAGAAGCCTCATCCCACCTGGTGTTGCATTTTAGGCTAAGGAAACGCATTTTAGCAACGTATTTGCAAATAGAAATAGCAAATATAAATGAGTTATTGATAGTTTTAGTGAAATAAAATTAAATTTAG